GGGCTGGGTGACCCACAGAGGGCCCTGCCAACCCCTGCCATGCTGGGAATCTGTGAGCCAGGGCTCTGCTGCCGTGGGGCACCACCTCTGAGCTGCTTCAGCCAGCCAGCAGGCCTGACCACAGGGTGACAGTTTCACCATCGTTAGTCCACGTGAATAATTCAACAGAGCTGCAGGCAGCCTGCGACAGCTTCTCAAGAGGTTTTAGCTGTGCGACAAGTTGGAAAGCATAATAGCTCTCTGGTCATAACGTGAGGGCTCCAAAAAATTGTTAGGAAGAGCTGGATTTCAGAAGGGAATAATTTAACTCGTTATCACTCCTGAAACTTGGCAAGCATTTATTAACACATTAATTTTTAGCAGGTCAGATTTTTACATCCCACACTGACAGAAAAAGAAATCCCAGTATAATTGAGAAGATTAATTCTGCTAACTGGTATGGGTGCATAACCATGGCTCAGTAATCCAGTAAACAAACTTGGGGCCTGAGGATACTGATAAGTCATGTTTACGTTAACCCAGTGTGTTCTATGTTTGATTGTAAGGAAATACACTTCAGATATATCTAGGAATTGGAAGGCAAACTCTTTCTTCCACTCCATTCAGCCCAAGAGACTGTAGTCCCCCAGCAATGCCAACAGCGGCTTGTATTTTTGGCTCCTGCATCATCTCCTTATAGTTGCTGGCATGGGAGGAGAGGTCTAGGGACAGAAAAAAGAAGAGTAGCAGCGGCTGGAGCTGTCTGATGGCACATACCTGGCAGGCAGCCCCGGGGGAAGCTTTGCCAGCTGGCACAAGGAGAGCAGCCCCTATCCTGGATTCACGGATATTGGCCTTATCAAAACTCACTGTTATCTCATGGGATCAGGTTTAAAACTGTATCTTAAATTCCACTACAAAAAATCCTCAAGAAAACATGTATTCTAATGCTGAATTATGATTACTCCTGCTCTTAATATCCTGGAAATACTTTACACCCAACCATTTTCAATATTCATTCACAACTATCCTATTGTAAGGACAACTGGTAGGCAATAAGTGGGCATTCCACTGGGCATTTACATTTAGTGAAACAGAAGAACTGTTACGGATTTTCAGTAGTTTAGTATCAGCTATGTAGCTCTTCAAAATGTGCCTCCTGTGAGTCGGTGGTGTTCATTTTTTATATAAAATAAAAATAAATACATTTTGTATTTTCTTAGGTTCAGTAGAATCCAACTGTACCAGTTGGATCAGGGCCTTGTGAGGCCTGTTCCTGTGTGAGGAACTGTAGAAATAGGGTAAAAGGCAGCCCTCGCTGCGAAAAGCTCACGCTTACCTCAAGACAAGATACAAGGTGGGAACGTGGTACAACAGAATTTGTGGGGAGAAAAAATAGGAATGTAACAGTAGTGAGAACAGATGGCTATATGAGTTTATATTTTAAGCAATTCACAGATGTATAAAAATATATTTATATGTCACACATAATACAGCAATAAAAATCTGATGCTTTCAGGCACT